TTGAGGCTATCCAAGAGTCGACCCATTTTTTGGCATCTTCATAAGAATGGAAGTGCTGCTCAGCCAGGCCATGTGCCATCGATTGGAACAAGTGATAATCGGAAGGGGCAATGGTCTGGTGAATACGGCGGGTAGGGTAAGACTTCCCATTTAAGCGTTTCCAAGTAGGTTTTCACCGGTTGTGCAACATGTGGCCGAACATTGTCATGTTGCAAATCACTTTGTCGTGTCTCTGCTCGTATAGCGGCCGTTTTTTCTTCAATGCTCGGCTCAAACGCATCAATTGTAGTCGATAGCGATCTCCCGTGATGGTTTCGTTCGGTTTGAGTAGCTCATAATAAACTATACCCAGCTGATCCCACCAAATGCAGAGCAGAAGCTTCGAACTATGGATATTCGGCTTTGCCGACGATGTTGATGCATGGCCGGGCTTACCCCACGATCTTCTATGCTTAGGGTTATCGTAGTGTATCCACTTTTTATCGCCTGTCACGATACGATGCAAAAAACCTTTCTGCCGTTGAAGCAGCTGTTCACACGTGAAAAGACGCTGTTCGACGTCTCTCGGCTTCAACTCGTATCCAATGTCCTTGCTTTTGAATCATTCCTAATACTTTCAAACATTTCGAAACTGTTGTGTGATCAACTCCTAATGATTCTTCAAGTTCAGTTAGCGTCTAACATAAGTCTTTATGAAGTAATGGCTCCAATTCTTCGTCTTCAAACTTTTTCGGTGCGCCAGAGCGTTCTTTATCTTCAACATCAAAATCATTATTTTTGAAGCGTCTAAACCAATCTCTGCATGTTGTTTCCGACAAAGCATGGTCGCCGTAAGTCTCATCAAGAATTCTGTGTGCTTCAGCTGCAGATTTTTTTTTTAATAAAGTATTGCAATAAAATTCCCCGCAAATACTCTTTTTTGGCACGAAACTCGACATGTTTAACACTACGAAAAAAAAAGTTGTTTACACTTCGACGAAATGACATACACTGAATTTCAAGCTTGCTTATAGTACTTCCTTATAGATGCGTTACCATCTTAAACTACACGCACGCAGTTCTGGTAACGTCATTTGTTGGAAAACAGCGAGAACTTATTCAAAGTCCTGATATATTTTAGAGAGACATTAAATTATTTTAATCAAAATATTTTCCACCGTTAACTACAACTTTTTCCCACTTTTCTGGCAATAAGTGGATTCCGTTGTAAAAGAAATGTTTGTCTTTCGAAGCAATCCATTCATCGAACCATTTCTTTATTGCATCATGTGTTTTGAATAGCTGGCCAGTAAGCTGCTGCATCGATCGAAATAAGTAATAATCTGAAAGACCACAGTTTGGTGAATACGCGGTGTGTGGTAAAATTTCCCATTGAAATTCCGATAACGTATATTTAACTGCTTTTGCAACGTGTGGTCGAGCATTGTCGTGCAACAAAATCACTTTGCCTTTTCTTTGAGCTGTTATTGGACGTTTCTGGTTCAAAGCACGATTCAAATCGATTAATTGTCGTTGGTAAAGCTCAGCAGTGATTATTTGATTCGGTTTCAGCAGCTCATAATACACGATGCCCTTCATGTCCCACCAAATGTATAACAAAACCTTACTTCCATGGATATTGCGTTTTGGAGTCGATGTCGACGATTGACCTGGATCTACCTATGCTTAGGATTATCATATTATATCCATTTTTCGTCGCCTGTTACAATTTGATATAAACATTGCTTCTTTTTGTGACGAGAAAGCAGTGAAGTGCAAATGGTTAAACGATTCTGTATAGCCAATTCAGACAATTCGTTTGGAACCCATTTGCCTTCTTTTTGAATCTTTCCCATTACCTGTAAACGATCAGAAACGGTTGATTTACCAACATTTAATGTTATAGCTAATTCTTTAAGTGTTTGAACTGAGTTTTCATCCAACAATGCCTACAATTCGGCATCTTCAAGCTTTTTTGGTTGACCTGAACGTTCTTTGTCTTTCAAATCAAAATCACTACTTTTAAATCGATACCAGTATTCATACATTTTAACTGATGGAACAGATTCAGAATAAGTTTCTGAGATGAATCGGTGAGTTTCGGCAGCTGTTTTCTTCGAATCAAAGCAATAAAGTAATAGATGCCGAAAATGCTCTTTATCACGTTCCATGTTTAATCGCACTAAACAGTGTGTTTATGTTTACGAATGCACAGGACATGTGTCAATTTGTTTGTAGAGATGTCCTAGCTTTGACATGACGTACTCATTTTCAAAATGTTTCCAGTAGATTTGTAGCTATAGCCATCTATAGTGAATCCTCAAAACTAACTGGAACACCTAATATATATATACAAGGTGTCCCGAATCTTTATGATGACCCTTGGGGAGAACGTAGAACGGATTGAGGTGAGCAAGGAAGTTTGTGCCGTTTTGCGATATTCGTAATAGTTTTTGAGAAATTAATTATTTTGTCTCAACAAATCAGCATACAAAAAGCGGCAGCGGAAAGAAAGATGCCTTCGGCCGACGTGCGACTGTGACACTCGCGAATCGCATCTCGCCGCGTCACTCTGCCTATAACTACGAGACATAGCGAGGCTTGATGCATGACATATCCGTGTGCCGAATCGACGTCGAAGCGTATCACCGCTTCGGCTGCATACATGTATGTAGAGATGACACAGCGAGCGGCGTGTAACATAAAATCGTGTGCCCAAAGATAATTATCTTTTGTTTTCTCGACGTTGCCGTAGAAAAATGATAGCGCGCGATTACATTTAGAAGATTATTTTATAAGACAGCTCACATTAAAACCTTGTTTTTCTGTGATTAAAGAAAAAAAAAAACAGAAAGAAAGAAAACGATAGAAACTGAAAGGATTTGTAGAGAATCTAACGGTTCGGTTACGTATTCGTGTCCCATTGTGTCCATGTTTTTTTACTGTTAAAGAGAAAAATATATAAAATATATAATATATAAATACGCAGATAAATTCTTTGTATAATCAGACTTTGTTTTTAAATTTTGGCATAAATAAAAATGATCAGTGCTAATATGACAAATGTAAGCAAAACAAATGCTATTGCTTATTAAATAAACTCTTTATTGGTCGCAATTGTACACAAAAACGAAAGAGAAGTATACGTGTCTCCACCGTAATACCTCCTAACATCAGTTGTTATCAGCTAATAAATAGCTGATTTTCGATGTTCATGAGTCGCGCTCGTTCATTTTCGACTATATACATATATGTATGCGTATGTATTTGTATTTGTGTTTGTGTGTAGACATCGATATATTTACATGATATAGAGAAATAAGTTATAAACATTTGTATTGTTTTATTTATGCAATGTACAAAAAGGTAGATATACATTAAAACAAATGCAATAGCAATAAAAAAAAAACATGGACACAATGGGACGCAAACACGCAACCTCCCGACTCAAACCGACTGCGAGGCTTAGTTTGCTGCGCTACCGCAGCTACTTGATCGCCCTCTTGTTACAACATTAATGGAAAGGACTAAACTTCAAATAGCGATTTCTCATAAGTGCTTGAGAGGCGTATCTTCTCCGAATAGCATTTGTTACTACTGCACCAGTACTATATTTCTATAAAAGTTCAGCAAAATCTGACTTGCTAGCTGAAGGCTTTCCTTGTAAAATCCGCTTTGACCGAGTACTACTTTGGACTTTGGATCAAATGGACTTTCTCCATTTATCAATCTTCATAATTTTTTTAGAAACCAATTTTTTTTAAAAAAACTTTAAACTTAATAATTTTTTGTAGATGGAATAATTGAAGTAATTAATAAAATATTGAAATTTTCATGAAAATAAAGGATAAAATAATTTTCTTATAATATACAATTTGTTAATAATAATCTTTTTTCAATGCATAACAATAATAACTTTTTAATATTATTATCTGAATACGTGATGAATACGTGATCATAGCTAAGTCAAATATAGAAAATAAAAATATTACAGGTTTTAAATCGCATATTTTTTATGTTGATATAATCAAATATTTTATATTAAGTCTAAAGATTCTATAAAAAAAATTTGTTTCTAAAAGAAATTATGAAGATTGATAAATGGAGAAAGCGTATTCGGTCAAAGCGGATCTTAGTTCGAATGTTACAATAATTTCAGTATATCAAGATTTTAACCCTTTGGGGACGAGTGTCGGCATATAGCCGCCCAAGCCGTTTTACCGTTCCGGACGCGTGTCGGCATATAGCCGCCCAAATTAGTTCGTAGCTGCAAGGCTCGCGACGTCTGTCGTTCTGAGCGATAAGATACGCATAGGTATAGTAAAAGAGTCACGTTTTCATTCAAAGACATTAAGGGCCATTAGCGATGAAGTCTTATCTTCCTTATAGCCCGTCGAGCGGCTCCGTCCCCAAAGGGTTAATAAAAATTTAGTAATTTAAATTGTTTAAGAAATGTGGACAAATTAATTTTATTTCCTTGATTTATTAGAATTATACGATTTCACTTCTCATAAAACGTTAAAGAAACGAAAATAATAATAAATTGTTTTCCATGATTACTTTTCATGTTAAAAACGCAAAAATCCTTGTTACTCAAATGTAGAAACTATTAAATTTAATAATTCTAACAATAATAATTATTAATGTTTTTAGGAATCAGCTGTGTAGTAAAAATCAATATTAACCGTGAAATCGATAACAAATGATAAAACGTTGTGAGTGCTGTATTATTACAGGTCTAAGCGCGCAAATTTTACGCGAGATTACTGGTAATCTTTGATCGGTTATAATTCAAAAACAATTGTAGCCTCGACATTTTTGTATTAGGATTTTTTACTCTACTTTATCTTTAAAATACGCTATCAAAATATCTTACGGTGGTTGCAAGACCATGTATGCGTGCGTGCGTGCGTGCGTGTCGAAGCAGTTGAGGTCGATAGTCAATAGTAGAAACGGGTCGCATTTTTGTATCCATAGTAATAAGGAACAATAATTATTTGAAACAGGCGCAAAAATCGGCCCTTTTTAGAGTCACCAAATTTTATAACGATGGAACGATACTCGAACGCATAAAATATGAAATAATTATATCTCGCGTGTTTATGCAATAATAAAATTAAAAATACTCTTCTTCGATCGACAACCTACACAAACGTTATATTGTTGCAACATATTCTATGTTGGTTCAGAATTCTATATTAAAATAAATCTAATATTTATTTTTTTTTCAAGAGTAGCTATTAAGAAGCATTTGTCAAAGCCTCCTAAAAACCTTTCCCCAAGATTTTTACATTACAGTAATTTCCTTGCTAACAATGAAAAATGCATGAACGTTCGAGCGAGCGAAACAGTCGTCGGGACACCGCGTATTGCTCACGTATAGACGAGACAGTGTGAGTCAAGCGTTTTCTTAGTGTGTGTCACACGTATTTTAGGACGGCATTTCTGTCCAGACGTCTTATAATGCTATTTCTCTCGTTCTTACGTTTGCGATAGAGGATGGAAGATCGCCGCGACTCCCACCACTATTCCCTCTCCAAGCGTCCGACGATCGTATACCGCTAGCTCCCTCCGCCACTCCGTGCTGCTCCTGGCTCACCTACACGCAGCAGTGTATGAGTGACGCGTTATCGTGTGTGAGTCACACGGATATTCGGACGGCATTAACGCCGGTGCGTGAACATATGTCCCGTGTAAGATGGACCAAAAGAAAAATATAGGTAGAACACACAAAAGTTAACAAAAATTATATAGGCCATTTTTCAAACAACCACATAAAATTTCGAGATATTAATTAAAATAGTTGAGTATATCAGAGCGCGGCGACACGGCAGACGGGACATACGGCTCGCTGCGGCCGACGAAGAAAACGGATGATTGTTCGCGGGTCTATCTTATAGGCCAGAGAGGTAGGCCGTTTGGCATACTGAAATAAGTAGCTCCGTGTGTGCGTCCGTGTACGTGTGCGTTCTTCTATTTTCTTCGCCGACCGCTGCGAGCCGTATGTCCCGCCTGTCGCGTCGCACATTCTAATTTGTCCAACTATTTTAATTAATATCTCGAAATTTTACGTGGTTGTTTGAAAAATGATCTATACAATTTTTGTTCACTTTTATGTGTTCTACTTATATTTTTCTTTTGGTCCGTCTTACGCGGGACACCCTGTATGTGTGTGTGTGTGTGTGTGTGTGTGTGTGTGTGTGTGTGTGTGTGTATGTATGTATTAGGGTGTCCTTATTTTTCAACTTTCAAATTTTTTCTGCGGCATTCTCCAAAAAGTTTCCATTTGACAAAAAAGAAGTCCCTTTCCAAACTTTTGCTCGATCGGATAACGAGAACCCGTGCCCCTGGATTGTTAAACACTGGAATACTCTTATATTAAGCGGTCTACGTTATCAATATGGTTTCTACAGCGTATTCTTCACAAAAATCGCCCTAGAGGAGTTTTCTTTTTTCTTTCAACATCGTTTGAGATTTTATAGTCCCATTTAAACAATTAGATAAATTGTTGATGACTAAAAAATAAAAATAAATAGTTATTGCATTTATTGTTTAAACTACAACAAATCATGTATGGACTATAAAGTGACTATAAAAGTTGCAATAGTATGTTTGGACAATATAAGTGTACAATATTAGGACAATATAAGTGTAAAACATACCTTTCATGTTTATATTAATAAAGAAATTTTTTAAATGAAATGTTACATAATAATTAATAACCTCGTAGCTCGTAATCTTATGCTGGGAGAGGACCATAGATATATAATACCTAGACGGCGGGTTTTTCCCATTGTCTGTACGCGTCAAACAATATAAAGAAATAGCATGCTTTCGGTAAAAAGTCTGTCTTTTTCTAACAAAGGCTGTTTTATTCCCACCACTTATCGTAGTCTTGTGGTGGGAATAAAGCAAGCTTCGTTAGAAAGAAACAGATTCTTTACCGAAAGAATGCTATTTCTTTATATTGTTTGACGTGTTCAGATGGGAAACGTTGCGAATCCGCAGCCTAGGTCCTTATACAGTTTGTTTGATAAGAGCGTGTCCGGCAAAACTTTTACATATAAACGGGTAGATGGAAAATTCAAACAGGAGCCGGTAGAAGCACCTTTCGCCTAAGATGCTTTGTTGATAAAGCTTTAGTTGATATTCGATCTTCGTGATGAAAATATATATTTCGCCATGAGTGCCAAATATACATCGCGTTTCAAAACCGTATTTCTTTGTACACATTCGAAAGGACCAAAAATGTCACGCCAAGCGGCTGCTAAGTACATGAGAAAGTCAAAAGCATTTATAAATAAGTGGGTCGCTATTTAGAGGTGAAAAATGTCGATGACTTACCGAAACGTGGCTCTACGCAAGGATTTGGCACTTTGCATATCTTCACAAACCACTTAAACGCTAGCAAAATGGTCAAAATTTATGAGAAGACTTTATTATTATCTGCTCAAACATAGTTTATAAGGAAAAACGAAAAATGGATACTACAAGAGGACGATGATCCTAAACATCAAAGTCGGCTTTGTACCGCGTGGGAATAAGAAATTAATGTTGAATTACTGGATTGGCCGTCACAGTCACCGGATGCAAATCCTATCGAAAACGTTTGGTCCTTGATGAAGTTTAAACTTCGTGGAAAGAAAATTTGATCGGTCAAAGAATTAGTACGACAAATTCGATTGATATGCAGATCTTTATTTCAAGAATATACTATAAAATTAGTTGAAAGTATGTCTCGAAGATGCCAGGCAATTATTAAGGCGACTGAACAAGTTATTAATAATAAAATATCACAGTTCTAATCAAGTAGTATGTGTGTATTTTATTCCAAATTATTTCAATAAATTATTTATCAAGTTTTGCCGTACACGCTCTTATTAAACAGACTGTACATCTATGGTCCCCTCCTAGCATAAGATTAGCAGCCACGAGATTATTAATTATTATGTAATATTTAATTTAAAAAGTTTCTTTATTAATAAAAACATGAAAAGTATCATGTTTTACATTTATATTGTCCTCCAAACATAATATTGCAACTTTTGTAGTTCATATATGATTTGTTGTAGCTCAAACAATAAATATTAGATGTACAACTTTGCTTACGCCGTTTTCCTATAGATGGCTTTAGCGGTAAGTGGTGGTCGAAATAAATAGATCATAGACGTCATACAATAAACTTGGGCATCTGTCAACATAACCCCATAGAAACATTAGTCGATTTGTGTCTGCATCATAAAGTTATTCTTGATTGAAAATATCAGTTTACGAGCCAAATTCTCGTCATTTGCGAGAGGTTTTAATTTTCTGCTTCAATATGAAGAAATTTGCGGCTGAGGCTCCTCGAATGCTCTCAAATACTTATTATGGTAAAGCCGTTATTAGTGAAATAACGTGTCGTGAGTGGTTTCAACGCTTCAAGAACGGTGATTTTGACGCCG